CAATGAAAGTGTCTCGCCTTTCTGTTACACCACTCATTAAGGTTTTTCACTGAAGAAAAACAAATAATTTTTTAAGTTTGTTTTTTGATTATTATATATATTTGAAAATTACTCCTTTTTTGTATTTTTTATTGGTTAAATCGGAAACATATCATTTTTGTGGAAACTTCAATTGTTCTATTTATCGCTCAGCTGTAAAAAAAAATACTACCTAGTTATAAAAATATTCTCCAGTTATGATTGGTGATGATCGGTGCTGTAGTTTTCTGAGATCCGAGCAAGCTTTATTATAATAAAACGAAACTATTTAACATAAATAATCTGTCCGAGTGTGTTAAAAGAGAGCTTTTAATATTGAATAATATTTAAATTTCAATTAAAAAGCAAAGATGAAAATAACGTGAAATAAAAGTCGTATACATAGATTCTCACAAGCTAAGCGTATGCAAGTCCATAAGTAATCCACTGTACCAATTCAAACATAGCTGGAGTATTGGCAACCTGTATATCTACTGGTTGATTTATATTAACTTATTTAAGTTATCTAATATTCCTGTAAGAGTAATGATATTAGGTTATATGTTATTTTACTTTTATTCTATCTTTATAAGAAAAAATTAAAAATTGGGTAACATTTCTTACAATTATTATCACACGTAAGTCTTATATGTATTGTACACATCTCCTTGGCACAAACTAAACCTGACACCAACAACTCTAGGCTATGATTGGCTAGTTCTCCAGACTAACTCATATTGAACATACGATTTACGTGACGTCAACATCCGTACCTATATGTTTCATTACACTCATTAAACATAAGCCTTTATTCTCCTGAAACTCAATAAACATAACTCTTTATTCTTCTGAAACTCAATAAACATAACCCTTTATTCTCCTGAAACTTATTAAACATAACTCTGTATTCTCCTGAAAATCATTAAACATAAATCTTTATTCTCTTGAAACTCATTAAACATAACTCTTTATTCTCATGAAACTCATTAAACATAACTCTTTATTCTCCTGAAACTCATTAAACATAACTCTTTTGTCTCATGAAACTCATTAAACATAACAATTATTTTCCTGAAACTCATTAAACATAACTCTTTATTCTCCTGAAACTCATTAAACATAACTCTTTATTCTCATGAAACTCATTAAACATAACCCTTTATTCTCCTAAAACTCATTAAACATAACTCTGTATTCTCCTGAAACTCATTAAACATAACTCTTTATTCTCCTGAAGCTCATTAAACATAACCCTTTATTCTCCTGAAACTCATTAAACATAACCCTTTATTCTCCTGAAACTCATTAAACATAACTCTTTATTCTCCTGAAGAAGAACAGGGAACTATTCGAAAGCGCTCGAGTTTTTCGTCTCGTTTAAAAACAATTACAACTGTGATCCTGTGTGCTAACTTCTTAATCAGAGGTTATAAGCTTATTACATAGATTTATTCATTTGTCCCAGTCTTCAGTCGTAAAAGAATTTATTAACTGATTTCACGGTACCGCGAACATATCTAAAAATCACACCATACTGTCTTTATTTTACAATAATGTTTTTTATTGAGCATGAATAGATCATGGTAGATTAGGAAGTTTATCTTTGCGTCTCAAGTATCTCTCATTGTAAATAGCTTGGGAAACAATGAAGATAACAAATACAAGACGATATTTAACAATGCTACGTCTGAAGTTATTGTTACTAGACAAGTTCCTTTTGCTATGCTAACTTTTGGGTCAAAGATGATGCAGATTACACAGGCCTGCGATGGTTTTATTGTCTTGAATTTTTTACGTGTTCTACAGTAATTCCTGTACGCTGAATCCAAAAATGATATCCATTTTTCTCCATCACATACAGATTTTTCACAAAACGTCATAACGCAATACATAAAAGAAAGATTTAGTCACGTAGTTTTGAGACTAAAAAACGTAGATTTCACAACAAAAAAATCAGGATGAATGAGGATGCACATTTGTTTGACATCAATGTTCTTCCCTTTTCTTCAGTTTTTTTTTGTATTTTTGTTAACAAACATAATAATAAAAAATGTTCGTTATGGTAAACGAAATAATAATTTGATCCAAGTAAGAGTTTGTTTTTTCTTCCCGGTTTGTAAAAAAATCCTTACGTGATAGAAAAAAATAAAGAATATTATTTTCAAAATCTCCGTAGCTGATATATGGAAAATCCGTTATTAAAACCAAATGATGTGATAACTTTCAAAACAAAACAAATCTTCAATATATAAATTCGCAGGCCCGTGTTTTTACTGAAGATTACTAACTTTCAAAACAAAACAAATCTTCAATATTTAAATTCGCAGGCCCGTGTTTTTACTGAAGATTACTAAGGAGGTTCCCTGATGATGTGATAACTTTCAAAACAAATCTTTAATGTTTAAATTCGCAGGCCCGTGTTATACTGAAGATTACTAAGGAGGTTCCCTGATGATGTGATAACTTTCAAAACAAATCTTCAATGTTTAAATTCGCAGGCCGTGTTTTTACTGAAGATTACTAACTTTCAAAACAAAACAAATCTTCAATGTTTAAAT